TTACATAACGCGTTTACGTGCATTTCCTCGCGAAAATTCCTGAAGACTCGGATCTCGCGAGCGGAGTACGTGTAAGCAGACGAGAAAGAGAAGAAAAAGTACCCAAGGCATCCCGACAGGAACGCCGTTGATCTAAAAGTTCACTCTCCTTAATTTAATTTCTCTTCGGCACGCGAAACACCGAGTGATCCGAACGAGACAACTCGCTAAATGTAGCATTTTAAGTACTACCTGTTAGTTTTAATTTACCGAACAATTCCGCGACTAGAAATACATTTTTCGCCGATATCTTCGAATTTAGAACGTTTCGAAATTTTCTTTTTTTTATTGAAACATAACATCCATAACTTTTTGCTATGTATAAAAAGAAAGAAGAGACACATTCTAACCGGGTCTAATGGTACTGGTAGTGTTGGGTTGGATGGATGCAAGTGCAACGACCGATGGAAAGTGCAAGCTTTCTTCATTCTTCGACCGAGTTCGTCGAGTTCATTCGTTGAGTTCCTTCATGTTGGGTTGTTATTCGTCGAGTTTGTTAGTTCGCTTTTAAAAGCGACTCTCTCTCTCTCTCGCGATTGCTCAGGGTTCACTTTCACTTGTTCGAAGTTGTGGATGGATGGATGCATCTTTCTACTACTACCGCTTTGTGACTGACTCGGAAGTGCATCGACTTTACTTCCGGCTTTGTCACCACTATTAACACAATACTTTCCAACTTAAAAATATTTTTGTTAAAGTTAATTTCCGCAAAGGTGAAAAAAGATTTTTGGAAAGAAACGAAAGTAGATTAAAAAGATGGTGTTTTTACTTGAAAGTTCGTGGTGGTAATAAATAAAAATGGGTCGAGTTCAAAATTTCGGTCAGAGTCAATGGGTCAAAACGAAAGTACAGAAAACTTTCTTTTACTTTCGCCAAAAAATACCCATCTCATCTAAATGGAGGCGCTTAAATATCCATATCTTACGTAACGAAATTATCACTTTGTTATTCCTCCAAAGATTGGAATTAAACTTTTAGCGTTAACAAGAATTGAAATTGAAAGAATCGAATCTGAAAGGTTTAAAGAAAACATGTACTAGATTTTATGGTTGATGGAACATTGTAAATTTGAAAGTATCGAAAAACGAAGTTGAAAACAAGAAGATTATTATATCTTATTATTTGCAGCAGCGGATTTTGAAATTTCCTATCGTTTGCGGATGAAGGTTGTTTTGTTTAAAAAAGTTGTAAATTTATTTATTTAAACGTAGGAATAGCAACGGCAACAAAAAAGTGTATGAGTGCGTAGCTTGAACAAGTGTCTGAATATGGTCGAACGCGACTCTCAATCTCGAGAAAGGTCAACAGGAAGGTCTGATTATGATTCCGAAACCTTCAATCAAAGGTCGAAACCTTGCCACATCGTAACTGAACTGCACCTCCAGGCACACAAGGCTGGGCGTTCTAAAATTGATAAACAACTTTAATTTTAACAAACGCGTTTATATGTATGTTTATATTATTCTAAAATTTACTTGTTCGTTGCCTATAAATAAGCAATAGTTGCACATATTTATTTAGCTTCCTAGAGACTTTCTTTTCGAACTATTTTCCGCGTTCTTCAAATTTGTTTTTTCTTTAATTCACGTCGATCTGGCATTTGGAATGGATGGCGGAAATTTTTCTAGTTCTTGGAAATTCTTCGTCGCTTTAAAAGGTTTTCAGTCGAACACTCAAGTTTTACCGGCGCACAGTTCAATTTAATAATAAAATTTCCTCCAAGAATCTCAGAGAAACTTTTAAAACCACCGCAAAATTGTTTATTTATTTACGCAGTTTTCAATGTAACATAATCTGTCATAAGCGTAAATGAAAGTTTACGTAAGAGTCATCGTGGTGAGCTTAACGAAGCGTCTAAAATGAAAAAAAGAGCTTACATAGTCTCGTCATTAAAATGCACGTAGACGGTTGGAAGTCATTGAGTTATGGAGTCAGTGCCCGATTTAAATATTACCGTAATTTTTGCGTTAGTCTCATTCTACGGTTTCTAATACGATAGTGAAAGTAGTAGTGATCACGACTTCCACTTTCTTTTAGACTTTCTATTCCTGAGCCATAAGAGAGTGGTGGTGCTGAGAGAGCCTCTCCATATTCAACGAGATTATAAAATTATTATTTAAACTTGTTTTCAGTTACTTAATACTTAATTTAGTCTAAATATCAAAAATTTGAATTCGAATTTCGAATTCTTTTATTTCAGTTACATAATATTTTTTAAGTACGCGAATCGAATTTAAAAGCGTTCTTTTTGTTCTTGAAATTTACCCGAAATGAATGGGTTTCCTAAGCAACAACCTTCAATTCCTTTTGTCATTTTGATTAGTTTCGTATCAGTTTAGAATGTGTTGGTTAAAAATGTTAAAGATCCCAAACCACACACGATCGATCCAACACCATCAGCACACACATTGGGTCTTGACCCGAAATATGTGGGTCACCTAGATGTTGAAAGTGGCTCATTGTCAAGCACTTGAATTTCGTCGATTGCCACGGTCATATTTGGCCAATCGAAATTACAAAAAATGGTTAATGAACTGAAATCGAAATCTCGAAAAATATCCTGAATTGATAAAATCTTTATAGCAATTCCAATTCATTTACGATCATTGTGAAAGAAATAATTACGTGGTGTTAAATTCGATCTCAAAACGCAACTCACAAACTGCCACTTTATAAATCACATTACGAAATAGCTCATTTTGTAACTCATAAATTTCATACATTTCATTATATCTTTATTATCTTTCACAATAAACAATCCTTCGAAACCACAAAACTTTTTGCTAAAACATTTCCCCTTTTTCCATCGCTATCCGAGCAGCAAAATTCTCTAAGATAAGAGCTTGAAGCTTTACACATTTCTTTCCTTTAACCCACCACCAGAACCGAACGATACGTTATCTCAAGATATCCTCCGAGCCGGTTGTCGAACAATATAGCATAATAATAAATGGTCGATTCGTATCTTGAAACGCAAAGCACCACTACATCGGAAAGTAGAAGAAGAGAGAGAGGTAAAGAGAGAGGTTGAAACCACAAGACCGCATTGTCTATGATTTATGGCGTTGCCTTTTTCTATAAATTAAGTATAGGTTGTGCGGAGAGATGTCTTAGAATGAAGACGACGACGAAGGCGAAGGGGAAGAAGAAGAAGAAGGCGAGCGTAGGTTTGCCGACCCGTGGGCCGCTGTCGGGGTGGATCTAGCTTAAGAAGACGACGAAGAAGATGTTGAAGTCGTTGAACTGGAGGCGTATAAAGTTCCAGAACTTGTTTTTTTTTAATTTAAAAATTTGTTTAAACAATATTTATATACCTAATCGATCATTATGGAGACTTAGACTGGAAGGAGTTGTAAAGTAGAATCAACAGCTATTAAATATAGTTTTGAAGTAGTTTTCCATTCATAATAACGCAGCTTACAAGCAACAATAATTAACCCTAGTTTTTGGGGTTGGGGTTGGGTTGAAAATTGGCAAAAAGCAGAGTTGGATGGTATCCGGATACTTCTATATCCCGATACTTTTTGAGTATCCGTTACTCTGTATCCGTGACTAAATCTGAAAGTATCCGGTATCCGGATACTTTTTTCGGTGTTCGGTACCTTTTAATTGAGTTTTTTTATTTCCTATTCTGTTGTCACAGACGTAGATATATATACACCAGAGTGTTTGAATCCCCATTTTTTTCAGTGTCTTCTACTATTGTACATCTTTTGTGACTACATCAATAATTGTGGCTTTACATGTTCGAAGTTAGTTGTTCTTCACTTTTATTATTGTGGGAAAATCGAGGGCTCTCTCTCCGATTAAAATTTGTACACCAAATTTCCCCTTTTAGAAAAAATTCAAAGAGCCCATTTCGTAGCAAGTGTACACTAAATTTCCCCAACGAGAGACCACTCGAGAAAAATATAGGAGAAAAGATTAGGAGTCACTATAAGTAAAATATGGATGACAATATATTAGTTAAACAATAATTTAGGTCATTTTAAAAGTATTCGAGAATGTATCCGAAAACTGCCGGATACATGTTCGGGATACTTTTAATGGAGAAAGTATCCGTACTTTTTTAAAAAATTATCCGGATACATTATAAGTATCCGGTATTCGGTACTCGAATATTTTTTTCTTGTATCCGACCCAGCTCTGACAAAAAGTTTTCCCAAAATATTATTTTATTTCATAAACTTGTTGATTCTGCATCTACTTAACCTCGTACTTTGTCCTCATTCACCCAATAAATATTTATGTCGCGTCATAGATTAAAGCGGTAGCTCTGCCAACGAAAGAAGTTAAGAAAGAAGGAGATTTAAAATATCACTGACATATAACTTTTCTTAAAACATTTTTAAAAAAATTAATAATTTGTACTTATTGTGAGGTCTCTTTAAACATAATAAAGATCATTTTAAACGGACATAAACCTAGGTTTTAGTGCGACACGTCTTCTGCTTGCAGGCAAAAATAGAAATCTCTATTTAGAAATAGGTCAACCCACATAAGAACCTCTATATAAGAAGTTATCCAATCCCAAAAACTTGTCCAAAAGTCAACATGGTGGTTAAACGCAATCACTTCTTTACATAAACCAATTAATAAAAATAAATCAGTTGCGAGCGGTTTCCGGAAACCAACTTTCAATTAAATAAACGTTGGTGAGGTTTAGTTGCTTTTTGGATGTGAGCTTTTCACTGGGTTATTTATAGAAATTGACCGACAGAAAGAGAGAGAGAGAGAGACTTCACGGAGTGTAAATCTAATAAAGAGGAGCGCGTTAGGAAAGGTCCGGACGGGCAATGACCTAAACTTAACATGAACGTAATACGTTCTCAAGTTGAGCTTTTTAAAATATGTTCATTCCATAAGTCAATTTGAAGATTTTGATAATTTTTTATTAAATACTTTTAAAAAAGTACCATTAAGTTTTAATAAAATTTTATTTATCTTTATAATCAGAAATAATTACATTCAAAAACTTTACAAATTTTGTAATTTATTATTTTTTTAATGGTATATCTATTGGTAATTTTGGACAGGTCTTTAAAACGCTTTAAGTTCAGTAGAGTTCAACGTAGAAAGCAAAATTGTACCGAGACCGCAACTTGCGCAAAACTTTCACCAACCCGGGTGAATACACTTAGAAACGAGCTGCATTTGATAATCTAACAAGTTCTAAGTGCTCTCATACACACTAAAACTTTATTTGTGTCAAAAATTCGAAATCAATTTGATAATTTGGAATTATGCAAAGTTTTTTAACTAAATTCCATTTTATAAAAAAATGGTGATAATACGGTAAAGTAGTGTTGAGAAAAGGAAGCAATGGTCGTTTCTTTAGAGCTGGGATCTCTGGTTGGACATTCCGCTTATAGTGGAGATCGGCAGAGGCACGGATGACCGCGAGAGGTGAAGAACCTGTGTGGTCACAGACACATGCACTCCACGTGAAATAGGTCATCAGACGCGGTTTTAACTCTTTTCTGGACGCTACAACGTCTATTATATTATTTATAAAAGCGGTTTCTAAGGGATCCACTCAAAAGATATTTACTATTATCAGCCATTTTTCTTGGATTATCTTAAATCAGTTCATGATAAAAAGTAGTTTTTTTGTAACTTTTGGTTTAAGGATTATAAACCTACTACTACCCCTTTCCTGATACAAACCATTACAATAAGCTTAAAGTGTTTTCAGTACCTAAAAATAAAAAAGATTTTATTTTGACTTTAAGACCATACTTTCAGAAACTTATAGATAAAATTTGGCAAATTCACATTCGGTCATGTTTACGGAATTACTTAAAAATTCTAACGCAAAATATTTATGAACGAAGCTAAATGCGTCACGTTTTCGTCGCAAAAGGTAGACCTTGCGTTTAACGAGCAACTACTTCGAGGTTTCTGCATTATAAGGTTGCATTTAATAGCAATTTTTTTTAATTACAAAACTTTTTTTGTATATCTCAAGATATTTTTATATTAATTTTTTTCAGTAGGTTTCAAATTCTCAAATCAAATGATTACGTGTGTAAAATATATTATGCGTGTAAGAAACTATTCATTTTGACCATGAATTTGGAGGTCGATCTGGTGTGTGTGTGTGTGTATTTTACTCTCAACCGGAGTTCGTTTTAACCTTAGTGTTGCCGGACTGAAAGGACTCGGAATAAATCATTTTGGAGTGATCACGGTCGCGTTTTATAATATGTAGACGACGACGACGACGACGACAACGGTGATCGGTATTAAATACGTTTTGTTACGATTTTGATTCAACGCCAACAACTTAAAAACACATTACTTATTAAGAAATCCAAAGAATATAAAAATATATTTATAAACATCAACTTTTAATTATAGTTATTTACTCGTTATGAAACCAGAGTAAAATAAATAAGGAAATGACACTTTTTTCTTAATTGATAAGTAATCTAAATAAACAACAACGATAACGATTAGATGGCCAATATTTTTTAACTTGGCAGGATTAAGAAGCGAATTTTACGATGAATTAATTGTAATACATACTTTTAATGAGTGTTGTTTATAAATAATAACGCAGATCGGATTAATGATAAATCAGAAAAAAAAAACAAGTTCTTGTTCCGTCTTTTTTAGCGGAAAATGAACGAAACCAAGGTCCAGGAGTGTTTCAGCATTATTCATGTGATCGTTATTCAGTTTCGCCTTGAAGTGCACTTTATAAATAAATGTGTCTATGAAACGTATGTATTTTCTTATGGTTGTTTCGTCTGTTTACTCCACAGCCGAAATCATTAATAACGTTTATTTTCGAAATTAATTAACGTTAAAAAGTATGTTAACTTAATTTTTGATATTAAATTATTACTTAATTTAAGATTTTATTAAGAAAAATCTTAACTGATTTTGTATCTTTCAAAAGTGTTCAGGAATAATTAAAATGTAAAAATATGTAAAACCAACCGTGAAATAAGTTACTTAACATTCAAGATAATTAATTAATAATTAAATATTCGTAGCTTCGTTAAATCATGAAAAACATTGTATAAAACATATACAGGTGTCCCGTTAAGGTTACGGAGCGGCTGTATCTGGACAACGGTAAGGCCTATAGGTTTGGGAAAAAAATCCTTATAAGCAAAGTGGGCAAGAGAAATAGTTGGAAATTATTTTGAAGTTCATAATTCGACCGCTAGGGGGCGTAGCTGCCATAGAGAAACATAAAATTCCCGCAATCTCTGAAACTTAAACGATGAGCTATAATTTTGACAACATCATTTAGTAGCTTGGATAATACCGCATCGCTTTTGTTTTGCGATATTTCTCATATCTGTCATAATAAGGGAGGGGGAGGCCAATGCGTTTTCAAATGTTTACATTTTAATATCTCCTGGACCATTCAACCGATTTGAATATTTTTGGTCTTGTTTGAAAAAACATTTCATGCTCTTTTAAAAGATATTTTCAGTAAGACCGCTTGTTTAAAACAAATAAGCTAGAGGGCGTTAACTGCAGCGGTTATATATTTTTGTGATTTTTGAAAAAAAGTTAAACGGAACGGTACTATTTACTTCACAGACCCTTAATCACCATAAAATTTGCTAAATATTAGTGAAAACCGCATCTCGATATCTCCATCCATTCTCGAATTATAGAAGAAAATATTAGAAATTCGTATATCTTAATCGGATCAAGTTACCTTAGGAAACAAATAAGAGAGCACAAAATTGTTATAACCTAGAACCTTCCTTCACACTTTATCCCAGCTTAGAACTGCTTCAAAACTACTTTTGAGGCATGCTTAAAAGTCAACGGATCAATGAAATATCAACAATGATAATAAAACAAAATAAACCAAAGCACTTAGAATAACTTAAATTTTTGGCAAAAATAGCTCACTAATGTTCAAAATGCCTTCCATATAAATGCATCGAGGCATTTATTTAATCTAGTTTCGACGAAAAAAAAACGCTGTTTAGGTCTCGGCCCTGGACACGTTTCTACTAGCATTTAGTGTTTTGTCATATTTTCCCTGGTTATTGGTTTTTCTTGAAAAGTCAGGTCGTTTAGTCTACCCAACAATAAAATAATTTAGATAATGGGGTGAAAGCAATGTGGGTTTTGCTCGAACCAAGAATACATATTATGCAAGTTTACACCAGCTTGTGGAGAGTTGCTTCATGCATCCATAGCATTTGTGATAAAAGGTTTGGATTTGCGCAAATCATATTTAAAAGTCAATGATAATAGTTCAGTCTGTTATCATAATCGGTATCTGTTAAGGCCTGATGTAAAACAATGTGGTGGAGATATTATTCTCTTGAGGAATCTTGTGGACAATTGTTTTCAGAGTTCCCAGATTATGTGGGATCGCATTGCGCACCAATGTGATTTACGAATTCATAGAGATGTCTGAATGGGCTACACGTTGCCAGTTTTCCGTAAACGCTAAGTCAATCTTAAAAACACTTCTAGAGAAAAATGTCTTTCTTTGTCGTAATTGCATTGCACATTTTTGCCATGCAGTTGCATCGTATTCGAAACATTGAAAATAAATCATCATACGCTCTATCAAACGCTTCTGCGTTAGTAAATGACATGTTTACAGTTACCATAGTTATGTGATTTGTTTTTCTCGATGAGGTAACTGGATCTGATTGATGGCACTCGAGTTTTTAACAGTTTCTTCTATAATTCGAGAATGGATAGAGATATCGAGATGCGGTTGTCACTAATATTTACCAAATTTTATGGTGATTAAGGGTCTGTGAAGTAAATCGGTACTATTTACTTCCATTTAGCATTTTTTCAAAAATCACAAAAATATGTAACCGCTGCAGATAACGCCCTCTAGCTTATTTGTTTTAAACCAAGCGGTCTTACTGAAAATATCTTTTAAAAATGATAAAGAAAATATTCAAATCGGTTGAATGGTCCAGGAGATATTAAAATGTAAACATTTGAAAACGCATTGACCTCCCCCTCCCTTATTATGACAGATATGAGAAATATCGCAAAACAAAAGCGATGCGGTATTATCCAAGCCATTAAATGATGTCAAAATTATAGCTCATCGTTTAAATTTCTGAGATAACGGGAATTTTATGTTTCTCAATGGCAGTTACGCCCCCTGGGGATCAAATTACGAACTTCAAAATAATTTCCAGCTATTTCTCTTGGCCACTTTGCCCATAAGGATTTTTTTCCCAAACCTCTAGGCTTTACCGTTGTCGAGATACAGCCGCTCCGTACCCTTAGCGGGACACCTGTATATTTGCCACTTGCAGATCAAGTAAAAATTATGATACAACATTATGTCATATCTTAAATAACATATTTAATTTCTACAAAATAAATGTTGTAATTGAATCTGTATTTGTCTGAAATGATTTGTCTTTAAATGGAGGAGATCGTTTATTGTTGATTTTCAAATAAGGCTAAGTTAACGATGCCATTTAAGTATCCAAATAGGATACGATTTAAAGTCTTTGGAAAAAAGTACTATTTCGTGTCGGTTTTGCTTATCGATAATCATTTTATCGATTTAACTCCAAATGTGAATTCAAAAGCGACCGAGGATTTTGAGTGATTTTAATCTGACGCAACACTTTGAGTATTTAAACGTTTTATTGTAAAAATATTTTAAATTAACTGTTTTTTATAATAATAATTGCTCGGTATTAGTGACAATATGTTAGGAGGTAACCTGTATCAAAATCAAGATTTGGTAAATTGTAGTTTAGTTGTTCAAATTGACTCATACGCAAAAAAAATAGAAGTGATAATGGCTTGAAATTCTATAAAAGTGCAGTCGACAGCGTTAATATATAAAATATGTTTATGTAGAAATTCATTAAAGATCGGATGAAGTTAAAACAATTAAAAAAATATATATTTACAAGGTATTCAAATTGCTTAATCACTGGTTTGCCTATTTTTTAAATATTCATTTCCTTTCCTAGCATTATTTATTTATCAACATCATTTTTATTTATTTTAATTCAAATAAAGAACATAATTTAGTTTTTGCAAATTTTTTCAAACCAAAAACTTTTCATCTTAGTACAAAATCATTTCCGAGCAACCAACCAACAACATCCTCTTCTTCTTTTTCTTCCAGTTACTAACCGAGTCTTCTTCTTCTTCTTTGAAACTTAGAAAGGTCTTAGAACCGTCGTCGTCTCTAACGCCAAACCAAACCAAACCAAACGGCAAACGCCATTCCCTCCAATCGTTCTCTCTCCCTTAATCTCTTCTAAACCTTCTTCTACTTCTTCTTCTTCTTCTTGATCGAGGAGAGTTGGAAGCGCGCGAATCGGATCCGTTTTAATCTAAGGCGCAAGCGCCATCCTGCGTTGCTTTTCGCCACAAGCAGCAGGAGTTTTCGAGTCCGAGTCGAAGTTTGCGTTCGAGTTCGGTTCGCGCTCGCACCAATTTCATATCACAGCAGCGGTTCGGAACACCGCACGTTGTTCGTCTATACACGTGGTTCACGTGGTTCGTAGTAGAGTTCTTCAATCTTACTTGCGCGCACACGGAAATGGTACACCACCAATTTGAAGTTGGATTTTAAGTCTTTGGATTTTGTCGAAATTTGTTTATGTAAATAAAAACTGTTTTCGGTGGTTTTATATTTTAAGTGCCGAAGGATTTTTGACTTTTTTATGATGAAAAAGTGACAATTTGAATGAAAAATTAGTTGCTCCTTTTGTTGGAATTTTAATTAAAGTGTTCTAATCTGACTGAAACAATTAAAGGAAAAAAGTGGAATAACTTGAAAAAAAATGTGTAAAAGTGGATGATGATGTTTATACTTTATACTTAGTTCGGTTTTAAAAACGAATTATCGAAAGTTCCGATTGAGGATAAAATATTAAGGATTTATTATCGGAGAATTTTAAGGAAAAACTTGTAAAACATCGACAATAAGGTACTTTTTTAAGTTTTAATATCGATTTAAAAAAGATACAAAATTCTCGAATAATTTTTAATTTTCTAGATGATTCTATAGATTGTCTAAGATGGAAAATGTCAATGACCTAACTCTACCTATATGCTCCTGTATTTTGGTCAGTCTCGGCTTGTAACTAATTCGGAACGGTTTATTTTTGTTCTCTTGTGTCGAGTTTTGGGTTAGAGCGTACGAATATAACAATAGAGATAGAAGAAAATATAGAAATAGAAAATTAAAAAGTACATATATTATATACATTTATTTCCTTCAAGTCGTTTTAACGATATCCTTCATCGCAAACTGTATAAGACGATTATCGATAAGCTTTTAAAGTTTAAACTTGAATTGATCGTTAAACTATCCTTATTTGATATCTTGAATCGTTTTCAAAGACAAATTACAAAATAAAACTTTAACTTTCACTTTACCAATTATTGAAACTTGCCCTTTAAAAATTTATTTTAATAAGATGTTAAACGCCACGAAAACAATTTTGATAATACTTTTAGAGATAACGAAATGGTTGCGAGATAATAGTAGTTCTTTTATGGTTGAATGAAAGGATAACAAAGTCAAGGTAAAAAAGTGTTCTCATAAACCCATTATATTATTTGTTTACGAAGTTTTAACAACTAATCTACCCCGGAAAAGAAACGAAAAAAAAACTACCTTAACCACTAAGATTTCTTAATACAATAACAGCAACGACGTTTTCACCTCTTAAAAGTAACCCATTTAATCTTCTTTGGCACGTTTCCTTCTTCTTGTCAACCTTATCAATCTCAACGATGGTTATTTCAGGAATTGGAGGATGTTTTTTAGAAATTCTCATCTTTGCAAATTCCTCATCTAAAATTTACATCAAAAAATATATTCGCAAAAGCGTACCATTTAAATATACTTAAAACGGGGATTTTTCTTCTTTTTGGTCGAGTCCACTCTTCGAAGACATCCTCCAAAGTTATATTGAGGTGTTTATCGAACATTGTGATGAATCCGATACAAAATCCTCTAATTCCATGCGAATGCCGAGTAATTACCTAAAGAAAAAAGAAAAAAATTACGAAAAAAATCTTGTTTTCATTACATTTAATATAGCCTCATTCACCTTGACTCACCATAATTGAAAATCATTGAGAAAATTTGACACGACTCTAACATTGACCTAAAAACTTTTATATTTGACTTGGGGACATCTTTAAACAATAAATTTACTTAATTTTTTATCTAAAGGGAATTTAGCCTAGGATGTGAACTTTAATCTTAATTAAATGTAAAAAAATCAATTAAGAACGCATATTAAATTATTTTATCTACAAAGTGACACATTCGATAAATTAAATATTGACGACACAAAATTCGTGTAAATATTGGTTCAAAAAAACCGTTGCGCTATAAAATTGTTAGGTAAAAATTAAAAAAAAAACTCGGTAATAAGTTGTTAGTTTAAGTAAGTAACGTTAAAATAATGCAATTTGATAAATTAATGTTTAATAATTAAACGTGATAAACCGTATCGCGCATAATAGGCGTTTTTTATGAGTCAATTCGTTTTTCTTTTGTGCTTTTTATGAAATTAAGAGAACCCGACAGATGTTATTCGAACGTAGGTATAGCTGCTGATCTTTATAAGAGACTTTCACCCATTGGAAAGTGAACGTAACGTTACTTTTGAGCATCGATTTATCGTTTTATTTAGTTTTCTTACTACACCGCACACCGAAAAAGGTTTTAATCACTTCCGAGTTTTAACATCAAATTATTTTTATATCTCGGTGATAAAATGAGAAAAAAAAACATTAAGTATCTAATAGGTACACTGAGAAATTTATTGCTGAAATGCTTTCTTATTTTTAAGTATTAGAATGGATTTTTTAAGGAAATTGCGTTCTATTCTGAATCACTTTGTTCTTATTAGAAACTTTCACCGAAAACTGATAGAAAATAAATAATTATTTTTAATATAAGATATTGATTGATTATGTAATTTAAACATACACAGCAAAATTTGAAATTTAGTTAGCCTTTCCATTTGCACCATTACGTTGGGAACCTACTTCTTCGTTGATGTTCCAACCTATCGAATTGGAGATATCAAGCTAAACCTCTTCACTATTGTCAGCATTCTTCAGGCAAATTTCAAACAAACACAGGGATAAAACTCCGCATCAAACATGTTATCGGATATTCAAAAATTATTATCTCAAATCCGAATAAAGATTTTCATGAAAAATTACATACTTTCTTCTATATATCGTAAACACTTCATCATGTTATCTTAAGAATTCGATGAAAAAATAAATATAATGAACTTTAAAGATAATAAATAAAAAAAAAAATGACAAAAGCTTCATAAATATTTATAAATTAATGTGTTTAACTTTTTATGCGACTACTTACTATTTAGTATGTAAATTAAATATTTGCAATGATTAATTTAAATCTACATATACAGAGTGTATCCGAATGACTGTAACAAACTTCAAGGGGTGATTCTTTAGTGAATTTTAAGGGTACTTAGATATATGAACCATGGGCGACTTCGGCTCCCCTAAGGAGCTGCACCCTTCCAAAAATGGCGGAAAATTTTGGTTTAATTTTCTTTTCTCAAAAACCATAAATGCTGGGAAAATGAAATTTGGGGAATATGTTTAACTCATAATAGGGCACGTTTTGACCCTATTTGAACTTTCAACCTACCCTTATAAACTACTAAACGTAACCACCCCCTTTAAATTAATTTAAATAAATACATTAGAAAATTTGTACATAGGTAGATGAAAGTATCCTAAAACTTTTTTATCTCTCTAAAATTTTTCCAAAAACGACTAATTTTTGGAAAAAAAAATAATAAATCAAACACTGCCCGTTAAACAACGGGGTTGTTGATCAAAAGTTGGAATGAATTTTTAATGAAAAAATCTTAGTAGGCTTTGCAATCTTTGTCAGAAATATTTTTGACGTTTAAATGTCAGTGGTTTTCTTACTATTATTATTGTTTTTCAAATTAATTTTTAAATAAAGTTCTATCGCATTTACGCTCGTTCACTCGACGTATCAAAATTGTAAATAAAACAATAATAAAGTAAGAAAACCACTGACATTTAAACGTCAAAAATATTTCTGACAAAGATTGCAAAGCCTACTAAGATTTTTTCATTAAAAATGGATTCCAAATTTCGATTAACAACCCTACAGCTTATCAGTTAGTGTTTGCTTAATTATTTTTTTCTCAGAAATTATTAAATTTTAGAAGAACATCACAAATAAAAAATAATAAATATTACAATATGTTATTGTATAACATCGAATTAGAGAGTCACGTGAGAAAAGTGTTTTAGAATGCGTCGACCGAACATTCAGAAGAAAAAGGGAAACTTTGTTAGAAATAGAAAGTGTACGTCGTCGTATGTAAGTAGTGAATTTCCTACTTCCCCTGCTGTTGCTTTCTTCGCAGCCGCAATCCTGACGTAATTGGATAGAATACTTTTATTTTCAAGTGCATTGATCTCTCTGACGTCGCTTAAACCGTAGTAAACTCGTTTTCGCTCGCCACAGCGAAATAAAATCGACCAAAAGTTTGCGTTTCAGAAAACGAATAAAACAACAAAAATGCGGCAAAATAAAAAAAATTAATAAAATGAATAATTAATACAATCAAAAAGCTAATAGCTAAAAAATAAAAGAACGCGTTTCTATTCAAAAACTCTCTACATTCATTTAATAGATTATATTTTACTTCCTGATTTTTATTTAATCCTTTAAACCGCAATTGTGCGGTTGAAAGTGAATTAATTAGAAGTAGGTATAAAATAATAAAATAAATAACATATTAATGCGGTGGATTTATTTTTGGTTCATTTATATCTTTGGCACTGTATACATTTAGTACAATTGATCACGATACGTCATATACATATCTATCAAGTCAATTTGACGTTCGCTCTTTACCTGTTAGCACCTGTTCGTTTGTTGGATCAAACCCACAAAATCCCCACTAAAAATTCAAACAAAATCTTCTCAAAAATCCATCCATAAAACATACGTTTATGCAAAAATTGTCCCCCAAAATCAGGCAACAAACAAAAACGTCTTAAAAGCTACCAAATTCTCGCGATTTAAATATCAAAACCTTAAATCTATGCTGAAATCTTCCTCATTCCACAAAAAACTTAAATCTTTTTGACACAACGTTAATTGGAAATAGAAATAATTGATAAATTACCCCAATCTTATTATTACCATAAAAATATTTTTGGAGAGTTTTAACGTACGTAAAAAAATTTTGTAGCTTATAACAGGACTTTAAAACCAGTAATAACACTTTCGCATACCTTGATCGAAGGTTTTCGCGAGGCCAATCTACAAGGTTGCTGCTTCGCCTAAGCAATTTCTGTTGTTGTTATTGGTTTTGTCAGTATTACAAGGATGATGTAGTAAATTTTAAAAGATTTTAAAACAAATTTCACTACAAAAATAGCCTAAGATTGCACACATTGATGTATAAACAAGGCGATATTAATAAAAGAAACCCTGAAATCTTGAAATCTTTATATCTATGTTAATGTCTTTTGAAGATCATCGCTTTAATTATCATAATGATTCATAAAAATCCGTATAAAAATCGAATACACATTGAATTAAAATCAAATAAATAATGCATAAAAACTCCCACGCTTTAAAAAAATCGAGATATTTTTAAATTTATGGAGGTTATTTTTTTTTTGTGTGTGTTAATCTCCTAGTTTGTCCTTAGAATTTTACTTCCTATATTAATCGAGTTTTGTTTTATTTTTAACTGACATTAAAGGATTGTTAAACAACAATTTTATGTGTTAAAGATTAGATTATAGTATCTTAATAATCTTTTTTTTTAAGTAGAGGCTTGTTTTTTTTCTTTTAATTACAAGAAGTTATATAACATTTTTGGAAAGTGTTACAACAAAAAGTGATAACGTTAATAAGGAGATTGTTACAAAAAAAATCGATTAGGATTTTCCAAACATTTTCTTAAAATGTTTTAGTTACAAAAAAAAATAATAAAATTACTTGAATTGACCGTGGAATTGACCATGAAGAAATGTTTTTAATTGATTGATTTTTTCATTGTACTACGCGCTTAACCTTAGAAATGAAGTATCTAAGGTTGGACACTTCGCTTCTAAGGTTTTCTGTTTCCTCGTTCTAAGACCATTTACGATGAAGTGGTTTATTGGTGAGGTCAGCAACTAAATATTGATTTCTTACAAGTCAATAGTGATTGTGAGTCAATCTTTAATTATAAGGTCTTGTTAAAAGCGTTAATATATGTAATAAACAAGTTGTAAGAAAAATTTACCTTGATTTGAAGACGCTTATCGATACATTCTTTCAGTATTTTTAATGGACCATTTTCATTTTCCATTTTTATGAAAATGTTATTCTTCGCTTTAGTGTTTCTCGGTGTTGCCGCAACTGGAACTAAATTTATTTAAACATTAACTAATTGAAATTAAAACGAAAATGTATAACTGAACTAAAATTAGAACTAAAACTAGAACTGGTTCGAAGTGACCACAGTGTCACTTCGAACCAGTTTCTGAAGAAGGTTGCAACATGGCATCCAAAACGTCAAACCTTTTCTTAAAAGACGCACGGCAAAACCCGAAGTTTCTAGTGTTACTTCTAGTTTTAGTATGTAATTTTAGTTCAGTTCACACCGGCCGTGAAAGCCTTCGTACTTATTACTTATTATAATTACAAAATGTAAGATCTACTTATAATAGTCGTCATTATTTATTTATGTGATTATGTTACTCAATTTCAAAAGAAATATAAATGTATTACTATATTAAATATTGAAATTTTGAGTTTTAGGAATACTTATCATAGCTTAAATCAGATTGATTCTCATTTATTGCTATTTGCAACTGTTTGCAACTATGACAAATTCATAAAAATGACAGTATCTCAACAGATACTCTATATTTGACAGATTTAAAATTAGACATCAAACGCCATCTAACATTCACGTCACTGAATCACTCAAACTATCATCAAAGAGTTTTTGGCAATAAAACAACAACTTATTACCTATACGGTGTGTCCATAAAGTAGCGGATATAGGCGATAAAACCATTATAAACGGTTTGTGGAAAATCCCTGAAACGGGTCTAAAGATTTAAATTTTTTGCCATTTTTTGGTGTAGATTTCAATTCTTTTCCGTCATTTTTAAACAAGTTATGACGTCATCGATAGTTTTTTCAAATGGCAATCCTCGATTTTTATTACGGAATATGAAAGAGGATATTTTTCTGAATTTTGTACATACAGTCAATATTAATATTGGTTACATAAGAAGATTTTCGAGAAAAATTACTTTAAACTTTAACTACTTCAAATTTGTTAACATAATAAAAATAGCCATGATTAACTATGGTAACCAATTATTTTAAACAATTTTCTAAGTGTCAAAAAATGATTTAGTAAGTAGTTGACCTCCTTAATGCAACATTTCCTAATCGGAAACTGCTTAGCTCATTAGTATGGTAAGCCTAGCTGTGACTAAATTTAAAAAGCGTGGACAACGACGAGGTTTCTCGACGTCTGCCCAACCAAATGTTTCAGGGGAGGCTCAACAAAACGTGAACAAAATGATTTTATCACCTATATCGGTTAGTTTACGGACACACTGTATAATTATTCTAGTAACATCTAGTACCTCAACTAAATTATAATTTTCAGTCTCGTTGAATGTCTAAGCCTCTCAGTTAAAACGTATTGATTCTCTTCCATTTGCCTTCAGGTATTCTTATTTTTGCAAAATCCAAGTGGGTTGTATAACAAGAGAAATTAAGTTTGAATGCGTTGACCTTGTCCGTTAATCAAATTAATATCTTGGGGTAAAGAGTTTGCTAAAACTCTGGATAACTCTGGATTACATTTCCATAAAATATTCAAAGTAATAAGAATTGATCATAAAAAGACCCTTTCATTAAAACTTAAAGAAAAACGTTCCCCATTTGTAGATCATAAAGACCGCTTCTCATAATCTGGTCGTTCGCAAAAAAGTTTAACGATTCTATATTTTCTCAGCACAACTAATCGTAATATAAGTAATAAAACAACAAATAGCTGCTTCCATGTCGCCATCCGGATAGCCCATCACATGACGTAACACAACTCTCGTTGTATACACACGCGTTCCCGGCCTTACACACATACAATGTAATAAACAAGTATCAATATACAACGATTTTAGTTGGCAGCAGTAAGAAGCCGGCGGTTGCGGGCAAAAGGCAAAACCAGAGGAGATCGGAAAGAGAAGCAGTTCTGACTGCGCCGGAAGGGTGAACGACCTCGAGAGTTCGCATTGTGTTTAGATGCTATGTTATGTACGCGTTCTACGGACGTCTATGAACGTCTTAGGTTTAGGTTAGGTTAGGTTAGGTTGGCAAAAGGATCGCCGCCGACGACGGTTGTTTAGAAAAAGGTCTGACCTGCAGTTGGACGAACTCTCCAGAATAATATGAAAAACTTGTCGTCAGAAAAAAATCGATATTTTCTTAAGATTTCCGTAAATACATCAAGGAAAAAATGAAAATAATCTAATACTAAATTCAAGGTGTTACATTGTATGTACATAGTAAATTTATTGCGCATAAATTAGTGGCAAAAGTACAAAATCCATTTATCCGTTACACATTATCACTTCAAAATTAATTAATTACTGTAAAACGGCATTGAACGAGCTTCAAACAACACATTACTTATTATTTATGCGTGAATATTTGTCTCGTCGAAGGTTAAATTAAGCAGTTTGCCCGAACTATTATTGCGCATCTTTGATAACAATTCAGATAAATATAACTAAATTGCCTCTATTAAGTTTAATTCCAACAACAAATTCAAAAACAGAAATTATTAAATCCAAAGTATTTAGTAAATCACCGTAAAAGTAATAAAGATGATGTAAATGATGTGATTTTGTAACGTTTGGAGGTTTTATACCCGATCGTAACTTTCGCCAAATTTAACTTTCTACCGTCTGTTTCTTCGAGCATTGTAAATGAACTGTTAATTATTATCCGTAACCCCAAAATAGACACAACGTTCCTATAAACAAGAGTTTCGGATGGCATCACACGAAGACCACACACTTTTAACTACAGTAATTTCATTTTCATTTTCTTTTAACGATTGATCATCAATCGTCGTAAATGACGTTTCGATTACATTTTTGTTATCTTTATGTAATGAGACTTCAAAGAAAGTGAAGAGTTTATGGCGTAATAAAATCATAGGGGAGATTGTAAAGATGAAATCATTCCTAACATCTAAATTTATAGCAGTTATTATTTAATTCGCAAATCTAATCATATAAACGATCGTTTAATTCAAAGATATTACCTAAATAGATGAGACGCGATATGTTTTATGTTCTCTGTGGCATTAATAAAATGGTAACGAGAATAAATCGACTCTTAACAATTTGACTTATTTATAACTATTTTAGAGGATAATCATATATTCTACAACAAGACGATCGAAAATACTCGATAATACGAGACGTATTGCTTGAAACACTACGAGACCGAAGGTCGAGTGGTACGTCGAGATTCGAGTATTTTCGATTGTCGTGTTGTATATGGCTAGACTATTTCATGAATAAAAACTATACATATTTGTAGAATTTTAATATTTTTTTAATAAATTACATTGATTGTTATGGAAACATTCATGGATGTCACGAAATTAATTAAATAAAAACAAGTGACAACAATACCTGGTTCGTATTACAGCGATAATACAAAGGTTCGTATTATCGTTCTCCATGGTTACGGCCAAATAACCACTGAAATACTCGCAATTGACGAAAAATCCCGAATTCTTATTGGCTGTTAACGTTATGAATGAAACAGTCAGAAACATCAAACAATTTTAACATAATAATTACTCTGTTTATATTGATGCGGTTCGTATGAACTTTTTTTGTCTCTTAATTAAACTTAATTTCTAGTATTTAGCGCACGTTTTAGGCTCTTCGTGCGAGCTTATTTAAGTCTACATTGATTCCTTCAGCAAAGCTGCGATGACCTAGAAGCTAGATTAGAAAACGTCGTTTTTCAAAAAAATATCAATCTTCATTTCATTTAAGGGGGGAAACCACATTAGAAGGTTAAAAAAATCGATTTTTTTTTATTGTATAAATCGTTAGCTTAACTATCCAAGAATACGATGTCAAAATTACAAACCGAAATTCGCATTCCTTTAGATTTTATGAGCATGGAACCGAGCGGTCTGCCGTAGCCTATACTAGAGATGTGCGCGTGAGTGATTTTTTATGCCTGCTCACGATCTATACCACGCGGGTCACGCACACCACTTACGTGAATATATGAATCACGTGACTCACGTGTGATTCACGTGTGACGGTATTAGCGAAAATACTCAGCACTTACTATGGACTAGCGATTCGAAAACATATACATCGATAGTGTAGAAAATATGAAAACAGCGATTATGGCGACATACTATCATATGATATCCACAGATGAAAATCCTCGACACGAGTGTTGCTCACAGGGAAAAGACAGCTGGTGCGTGTGGCAGACACGAACAGCTCTTGGTAGGGAGCTTGCAACGCATCCTACTCCATTGCATCCCGACATACAGCAGGAAATTCTGCATATATATGAGGATTTATCAAGGGATGAATTACTGGAAAGATGTTTAGGTGGCCACACGCAAAACGCAAATGAAAGCTATAATTTCACAATTTGGCGATTAGTTCCTAAAGATTTGCACTCCGGACTAAAAGTCATAGAATTGACATCGTACTTAGCCGCGGGCTTATTCAATGAAGGAAATTCATGACTCTTGATGATCATGACCGAAGCAGGAATTGTAGTAGGTACGCAAAGCTTCAACTACGCTGAACAAATACCGTATTTTCTCGAATCTAATTCGCACCCTTTTTACAAATTTTGTATGCTCTAAAATCAAATGCGGATTACAATCGGATGTGGATTACATTGGTAAACCAACTTTTTTTACCATCACTGCATTTTTAAAATCGAGGTGCGGATTAGATTCGAGTGCGGATAAGATTCGAGAAAATACGGTAGATAACCAGCGCGTGAGTCGACAGAATCGACGTAGTTCATTGAAGTCGAAGGAAGGTCGGAAACCACTGCTGAAAGCGCAAAATGAAGCCTATGAGGAAGAAGAAGGACTAATATATGGTGCTGGAATCGCGGATTAATCGGTGACTACTTTATATTATTGTAAACTTTTCTAAATTTCTAGTTTTCGAGATTTTTTTTTAAACACGTTTTTCTCAAAATGTCTTTTTTCACATTTGCGGGAACTCTAACTCAAAAAGTAACGAACCAATCATTATGAAAATTGATAGTATGATTCTTTATGAAATTACGAAATATATGAACCAACTTTTGAGATGATATCATGATTTTAAGAGTTTTTTTTTTTCATAATTAGTAAAAAAAAAAAGTGAAATTTTAAGTAAATTTTTCCAATACCTGCAAAATTTTTGTTTACATTTACCTGCATTGAGGTTCATATTCTTAGAAAATAAGTTATTAATCTGAAATGAAAAGCTTTTTGATGTCAGATGAAAATTGAAATGACATCAGTGCATAACTTTGTTATTTTTCGATAAAATTATTCAAAAATATTCACAAAAGTTATTCAAAAAAATTCACAAAAGTTATTCAAAATATAAACAAAATAGTGTCCAAATTTGATTAAATTCTAATTAATTCTTCCCACCCAAAAAAAAACCTAATAAATCAATGAAAATGAGCCTCCTAATGTGGTTTCCCCCCTTAATACTCTGTTGAATTCCAGCATGATGACTACGTCCTTGTTAAGATTATGGTGCGATGAGTATTGGATGTGGTGAATTAATTCCTAATAGAATATGCGTAATTAGAAGATACAATGTAGATAGACAATGTACAGGGTTTCCAGATTTCGATGGGTTTGCAGGGTATCTCAGTTATTATGACAGATAGAAAGTTGCGGCTTTCGCGAACCTGAGCTACTTTTTTGTGAAACCTACAATGGCGCAAACCAAATTTTCATAGTCCTCTTCGTTTTTGATATACAGGGAGTGTTTCAAAATTTACGATTTTCAGACACCTCCTGTATCTCTGAAAGAATTTATTTGAAATCACAAAAGACGGAATCTCTTAAAACGATTAAGTTGCAACAAAAATGATGTTAAATCTTCTATTAATGTCATAAAAACCTACAAATAATCATGTGGGTACCAATAAAAACGGTAATGAAATCGCGTTAAAATTCTTGATTTACGAAATTCTTCACAACAAAATTATCCGGCGAGATTTATTTTACTCTACCTTTAAACTCGTTTCCTTGAAAAAAATCGGATCTATAAACTAGTAACAGGTGCTGTAAATAATCAGGCATACACACACGCGTGCGGAGAAACACAACGCAAGAAACATAGATGTCCGGGGTCAGATTAAGTAACAACATCGCGAGACAGGGAGCGAAAATAATGTCTACGAGTGCGTAAATTACGTAAAAGAACAATTATAAATCGTCTGGCGTGGCTGCCAAGTCTGTCACAGGGCGGCCGTTTGCCTCTTGCAGACCGCGGCTCCACCAGTGGAACACATCGCCTCCTATATTTATAGATGAAAACTACTGTCAATGACTTCTACTACTAGTAGTTGGATATAATAAAATGAATAATAAAAAAGGATTACAAAAATACGGCAAGAATAACATGAAATGGAAGTGAGTGCTTCAAAAATATCTCTACATCAATTGCATTCTAACCACACAACTTAATTCTCCAAAAAGAAATCGATTAGAGATTTCCTTCTATTCACGGTCAAAGTTCAACATCGAGCCGCAACCTTCCGTTGCCGCCGTTACCGTCACCTATCTGAACTTTTATCGTTTCGGCCTTCTAACCTTTTGCAAGAGCGACGACGACGGTTACGAGCGTGCAAAGTGCGAGTAGTGCAAGAACGAACGAACGAAAGAAGAATGACGTAACGTAGCCATTGACCTTCCCGCTCCGTCGGTTGCACACCACCACCACCTCGCGTTCGTTCAGCTCGGGCTTCTTCAGCCGTGAAATTGCACCTCGCCCGAACAACCGACCACCAGAAGACCACCAGCACGTTCCGCGATTAGAAAAGACGGCGCGAGACAGCGAAAATAGCGACGACGGCCAAAAGATGCCGAGGAAGGTAGATAAGAGGAGACGGGGAGGAAGAGAAAACGTCTTTTTGATAATAGTTAAATCCTATTTCAGGATGTTGGAATGGTGTAGTGCGTTAACGGAAGAGAAGAGCTAAAGAACCACCGAGGATAAGAGCTTTAATGGCGTTTATTCATTTCAAGGTTGTTAAATTATAGGTTTTAGAATGGGTTTGCTATTAATTTAATAGAATTGAAAAATAATTGGGAACTCTATAGGAGTTTCATTCAACAGTGTGTGCAATTTATTAGTGAAAGAAAACTGTCCCAAATGTTATAATAACACCTGTATAAAAAATAACTATTAAAAATTCATAATCTGCATTGTCATTAATAGATGGCGCTGATGATCCCCCTTGACATTGAACTGTTAAACTATAACAATATAAATTAACCAATTCGGTCAATTCAATAGTTTAAACTAAAAGAATTACATTCAAGGTCTTAAACACACTTTTAAAAAAACTTATATTTGAGATCCACATTTCCTAATAATTTAGTAAAAATCGGTATTATAAATAACGAAAACTTACGTTGATGTGGCAACCACTTCCTTTCATTCAATCCGTTTCCAGCAATAATATTTTTATCGCCTTGATCACCAGTTTGTTTACATTTTTTGCGATCAGCTGTTTTGATTTGTTTACAAACAACCGACTCATATTTAGCGACATTGTCGTAGATTTTTGCGCCAGGAATCGGCGGTTTTAATCCCGGTGTGTTTAACGCTTTCAACGGATCAAACTTTTCACTGAAAAAATCCAAACTCGCATCGTAATCTGAAGAATTTTTATCACATTTTTCCGAAGAGTTAACTCCGACGCAGTCACTTTCAGCCATATTTATAGTTTTTAACTCACGCCATCTATGAACGAATCACCAAATTAACTTGAAATTTAAACTGTAACGAAGTATAACTGTGATGTTGGTTGCATAAGAAATATTTTAAATTTTTTTGTTTTACATTTCAGATTTGGCCCCAAAAACCTGCGTTAATGTCCTGGAAACAGTTTGAGATTCATCGTGACATATCCAGGTAAAAATATCCTATTTTATTGATTATTTATTATCAACCTTGTATGTTTTACGTCTCGTGTCCTCGAAAATTCATTAGAGTTGTTATTTCCGCCTGAAAGTATTTAAAAATAATAATAAATGGTTTATTTATTATAAAAATAATAAAGGCTTAACCTTCATAATTTATCTTAATTATAATTATTTCCTTCATTAAAATTAAATTAAATTATCTTTTTTTTATTTAGATCTTTATTAAAACTAAAGGGAACATCATCTGGCACATTTGGATAGCGGCATCTAATAAACGAAATTCTAAACAGAACTTGCAACAACAAACCAGCAGATGGCAGTGGCGATGCCATTTATAGATAACGACCTTTTGTGGTGTCCAGACAACGATGGTAATATGGTAGATTTATCTTCTTGCCTACAGGTAATTATGAATATATAATTTTTATAATTTCTTAAAAATGTAATTCTATATTAACCGCCATCTTTTTATATAGGAGGAAGCATCTATAGCAGTTGGTAGTAACACATCGGCGACAATAGGTGCCGCCGCAAACGTGAATTCTTTGAACGAACTTTCACAATCCGATCTCAATTCGTTCGTTTCTGGTTTGGGACATCAACCCGAAACGGGAGAACAAGAGGAATCTGGAACCGTTAATTCGGAAGATATTTTGAAACATCTCAATTTTCCGATTGAGTTGGATAATTTTTTAGATGAAATCAACAATCAGGTTAAGGTAAATAATAAATTGATTTTCTGCAAACAACTTAATTTACTTGTTGTAGCAAGAAGAAAATAATAACGTACAAGTTGATCAAAATGCGAATTTGGCGAGTTTAACCACAAAAAATGTATCGAAATATCCTATTGCTGCGGCGAATCCGCTTTTGGCGCAAAAGCTTGGATTATCCAATCTTAACGGTGGAAGTCAGCAACCCAACCAACACGTTAGTACTTCGAGTAATGGTACGCAGATGACGCTATTAACTCCAAAAGTTGAGAAAGGTAAATTATAATTATTAAAGTACAGTGAAATTCCCCTAACTCGAATCACTAAGGGAGCGGAAGAAAACTTCGAGTTATGGAATATTCGAGTTAGAGAAACACATTTAAACACATTGAAGCCTAGTCAAACGCTTGAGCTTACGAAAATTATTCGACTTCGAGATATAGAAGTTCGAGTTAGGGGAATTTCACTGTATATGTTTAATTTGTAAATAAAAATATTTGTAATATTCTTTTTAACATGTTCTGATTTATTTAGAATTGGTTTAATCACAAATATTAAAATTCAAAAAATCGTGGGTATGTTATTTTTGAAAATAAATTAAATAATAACATCAAATTAAACCTCAAGCCTTCTTCTCTAAAATGATGTAAAAATGATTTTAAATTGAGTATTAATTAGTAGCGATTAAAAAGAAAAATATCATACTGTAGCTTTATTAATCGTCAGGATAAATCAAAAGCAAAACATATCGTGCAGTTATACTGAAAGTATACCGTTGATTTTACATGGATTAGAAATTTGTTAGACATAAAATACGATTCTGTCCTTTCTTCCTTCTTAGATTATAAGTAACAAGAAAGTTTTCCATAAAAACATCTAATCTATTGTAATTGTAACACATTTAAACCAAATTAGTACCTATTTATAAACAGATCTTTTAAAGAATTACACCTATTTAAGTGTAAGTAAATTTAAACCAAAAAGGCATAAACATCTCCTAAATTATCAAAAAGTAAACTTTTTTTCGTTTAAAAAATCTTTAAAAATATTATTACTTTACGACTCAAAACGTGTACGATCGTAACTTCCAAGTTTATGTTTTCATCTTCAAGTGGAGCAAATATATCACTTTCGAAAACGACGTTTTCGTGCGCGTCCCTCTTTTTGTCGCATATAAAAATCGCTCAACGTCTTCACACTTACAAAACTTGTAAAAAAATAGTCTTTAAGGTTTAAACAGCCGGAATGTTAGGAACTTTACGGGGTTAACTAGGAACATGTGTCATCCTCTCAAGGGGTGTATTAAGACATCCCTTAAGGTTAAAATAGTAGCAGGGGATATTTGTTTTATGACACTGTTAATTTTAGGAATTTATTTTCATTCAGATAACAATTTCGTTTATTTGAAAAAAATGTTGCAAGCAATAAAGGTCTTAAGACTTGATATCCGGGTTACTTTTACTATCTAGAAGCACGTACTAGTTTTAGCTTAACACATTGAAGGCCGTAAAATTATTTTTTAAATTCTCTCTAACTTGTTTAAGTATTTTATTGGTGTTTCTTTTTTAAATAATTTCTGCTCTCACGTGTGGTCTTTATTAGGAGATACCTCATTATATCAGATGTAAAAGGCTTAAAATGACAGGAAGAGAAAAAATAGTTAGAAATATAATGTAATTAAATTTTATGATTTATAAGTGGATAATTAACCCTTCGAAATTGTCATTAAAACATGTCAGCTTTTGATTGATGATTTTTAAGAAGCATCGGTGGTCGTAAGTTGCGTTAAAATGTTGTCGCAATATCTTTTGATATTTAAAACCTTTTAAATGAAAGGAAAAAGGAAATGAGAAACACGACAGATGGAATTAAAGGTTACTTTATGATTATACATAGTGTATTTCGAATTCTATACATTTTAAATTTGACGGTTAACAACACACTAGTTTAACTCAAAAATTAGAGACTGTGGATGAAAATGATATTAATAAAAATTGTTCATATTTAATCCCCAAAACATAATCTGTAACCGATTTCATTCCAATTAGTCGGCATTTTTAGATATAAGCCGTGAAATTCCTAAAGCAATTTATAAAGCTCTTTATTATCCAGAGCTTCATGTATTACTTTACTGTCTTTGGACGACACCAGAGACTTTAGTGATGACCTAAATCAAGTTTAAAAAAAACTTTGCTTTAATAATTTATTAGACAAGAGAAATCATTCGATTCACAAATCACTCGAATTAAGAGAAGTCTGTGGTTAAGTATTGCAATGTTGCACCTAATTCTCACAAACTTGACAGAAAAAATGACTCTCGTAATAAACTTCTGAAGATGCTCCTTTTTCAATACAAGTATAAGAATTGGTACAATTTATTTCGTATGTTTAAGAATTCTCTTTAAAAATTTCTTGAAAGAAACCTAAAATTTAGTTCTCATTCAAGTTTTCCAACTGGATTATCTCGTCAAAATCCATCCGTTAATGTATAAGTTTCACAAAAGAAATCGAAAGGAAAGTGGCCTTACTTTTACGGCTTTTCATTCTCCTTCTATAGTTTTTCTTCTCCTCCTATTGGGTTAAAGTTTTTCATTTCTCTTCGCCGATTCAATGATTTCCCCTTTTCAAATAGCGGAAAAGCTCTTCTCTTTTTAGAAAGTAAATCTAATCGAAAACGATCGTCCGGTAATCGTTAGAAGTTTAAGTACGAGTATAGGAGAAACTTACTATTAAATATAATAGGTAGAGGTAAGTGGAGAGAAGTGGAAGTGGTCGGGTTAGCGGACGTGCGCAAACACGTCCGCGTTTGGCACCGTTTAAACCAGGTCATGGTTACTCACTCGTTTTTAAGTTGCGTCAGTTTCACTTCTACATAAGGAAGTAGTTGGAAAGGGAAATGAAAACTTGGAAAAAAAATTATTTGCTTTAAAAAAGATCTTTTAAAAAGAAATTTTAACCCCGTAGGGAATTCCCTTCTTTAAGTGGGTGTCTTCTTTTTTTGGGCGGTAAAAATTCCTGAAGAAGTGTGAAGTTAAAGATGATCGATTTTTTGTCGCGTAAAAAGCGTTTTTATGTTTCCTACTAATGTTTATGTACAAACAGGAAATTTTTATTTTCGGGGTGAAAAAGGTTCTAAATGAGTCGAAGAGGTCGCAAAAGGAACACATAAATATCAATTTTTTTATTTTTAAGATAACACAAGGGTGTTTTTTTCATCGTGTTTTTATATATAATGAAAAAAATTTACAACGTGCTCTTTATGTTTTCTTAAGGAAGCATCTTTCATGTTCCTTTTTTTTTTCAGGTAAATTATTCAATTTATTACATCCACGACCATCGACAAAGTAAGTAATTGATTTAACTTAATTTCTTGGTAAATTAGAACCCTAAATTGCCTAAAACTTGAATACTAATAACTATCTTAATTAAATTTTAAGGAAAGATTTTATATTGAAATTTTTTCTGGCCGGTTTTCCTGACAAGTTTTATTTCACAACCGGCTTTAACACGTAACCTCGTTCCAAATAAACATGAACAGACAATTCTAGACGAGTCGATGCGCTAAAAAAAACACGTGTCAAGCAATGTTTCCTATTTTCTACAAAAAATTTAAGAAATTGTTTAGAGTGAATGTAAAATTTTTATAATCAACTAAACAATCGAAATCTAAACTTATAATTAAAAAAAAAAGTTACTTACCCTTAAAATTCACTAAAGAATCACCCCTTGAAGTTTGTTGCAGTCATTCAGATACACCTTGTATATTGTACAGAGGTGGTTTAAACATAAATCAATTCGGTCAAAATAATAAATAAATTTGACTATCAACAAGAACCCAGCTAGTTAGCAGTGGCTAATAAAACCGTCTAATTTACAGTTTGTGCCAGATTCAAAAACATATCCGACTGGCGACAAGCGCTTAAAATTAATGAAAGTGCTCGGAAAATGTGCGCAAAATGAGTACAAAATGTGGGCTTGGCACAAAACCGAACCGATATATGTTAATATTCGGGTCAAAAAATCCCTTCAGTTTATGTGACGTACGATTTGGCACCAAACAAAAAACCAACTTATGATTGAAAATTGTGTTTTTTTGCGATCGTGTTCTCATTTGATATTAAAAATCATTTATGTTGTATTTCAGATATTCTATGATGTCTAATGTTCAATATTTGTTTATTCAGAAAAATGAGAAATTGTCTTTTATGATTAAAAATTAATATCTCAAAAACTAAAAGATATTTTGAAAATCCGTTTCTTTCATCGGAAAGCTCATAATTTCAACGATTTTACGATTTTTTGAAAATGATTGGAAATAATTGTTTATTTTGAAAAATGACAAAAAAACCTCAGATAATATCTGGTTTAATGTATTTAATTTCGCCATTAAATGATTGATAGCAAACCAATCATCTAATCCAATTATTATAATTTATTGAAACCTTTTAATCTATCATTTTTCCTACAAACACTTTAAATTGTTTACCTACATCGCAAATAATGTTACGTTTACCGTTCGAACGCGTTACAAATCATCTCAGTTATAAAGCAATCAGCCAATGAACGAATCAACAAGAGCCATGTCGGGTTATTGCGGCAAAATGTACAACGCACGCACGAACCTTACGAAGAATGGTAAAGGTTGACGCTTACCGGTTTTGACACAGTTACACAGGCCGAGCCTATTGCATAACTCACTCACTTGTGTGTCGACCGTATTTTTTATTATTCCATTAAGTAAACGCTTTCACTTTTTTTAAAGACGTCTCCAATAACATTTAAAAATTTTGAAATTGACTATTTTTATTGATTGCTATTACTTTTTTATATGTTAAGTTAAATCACATCGAAGTATAATTGTACCAACAATTCCTTATTTAGCTTACCCAGAAGATTACAACAATTCTTAAATGGAATACACACATTAAAAAATACCTTAACTTTACAGTAAAGATGGTTTTATACGTATTTGATGCATTGCATTCGTCGGTTGTTGGTCGACCCTGTGCCGTTTACCTTATCGCACCTTAGCGTGTTCCACTTTTACCGGATATACGCACCTGAACACTGCGGGACGACGACGTTTACTTACTTAAAAAAGCTGAGAGAACAGGTCGTCAGCCTGTCTCGAGGCGAAATAAAAAAAAAACGCTCCTTTCGATTTCATTTGGGTTTTCATTTGGATTCGATTTTCGATCTCTCAACTGGCAAATACCACCGAGAAAAGAAACGGTTATGTCACTGCAGTGAACGTTTACTACTTTGTAATTTGCAA